TATAATAACAGTAGGGTAATAGTTAAAGGAAACTTAATCAATTTCTCTAAATCTTCTATACCGACTCTACTATCGAGTATTGACTCTATTATTGATCTCTCCTACTAGATAGCTAACGTTACGATAACAGTAGGGTAATAGTTAAAGGAAAGTTAGAAAAATTTCGATAATATAGTTAATAATAGTCGCCTTACTTAAGAACTAACGTTATAATAACGATAGGATAACGGTAAAAGGGAACTTAGTCGACTTCTTTAAATACTAGATAGCTAATGTTACTATAACAATAGGGTAACGGTTAAAGGGAACTTACTTTGTCGACTTCTCTAAACCTACTATCCCGATCCTACTACTATATTATTAGTACTAACATAGTATATAAATGTTAGAAACTTACCTTTATCGATATTTTACAAGACTACGCTACAAAATATAGTAGATTTGAAAACGAGTGCAGTGTTTTATTTTCGAGTGCATGCCAAGAACCGACGCGCGCGGCTTACCTCAGAACGAGTGCGCGTCAGCTGTACACGCCCGAGGCCATACACTCATTTCTACGCATTTCTGCACACATACACGCAACACTGAAGAGACAGGTACCTACAGGTACATCCTAGACGCGATGACGAATCTGGTGAGGACCGGTTGAACATGCCGTATACTTCTCTGGACCCGCCCTGACGCAGCTGCATCTACGGGTTCGGGTCTACATGTACTGTATATGTATGCAGCACACTCCCCCTCCTTGACATCCACCATACCCTACCCGACCTTACCTCACCGACACCATGCCATCCAAGTCTACATACCCTGATATTGCCATCCCGGATGTTGGTCTGTGGGACTTCCTCTTCGAACGAAAGGACCGCGACTTTCCTGACGACAAAGGTGCGTGAGAATGTACTGAGTTACTATGTACATGTACCTACCTTAACCTTGTGCTGAAATTGAGGACAACCAGTGATTTACGTGGATCCTGCTACGAACCGCTCCTACACCTATGCCCAAACGAAACAGACTGCCATCGACTTTGGCAAGGGATTGAAGGGCCTGTGGGACTGGCAAAAAGGCGATGTGCTGGCTCTATACACTCCCAATTGCATTGACACCCCGGCAGTGACATGGGGAACCCACTGGGCGGGCGGCATTGTGTCTCCAGCCAACCCTGGCTATACTGTAGACGAGTTGGCATACCAACTGAAAGACAGTGGAGCAAAGGCAATCATTACCCAGCTTGCCCAACTGGAACAAGCCAGGTTAGCTGCGAAGAAGGTAGGCATCCCAGAAGATCGGATTGCTCTCATGGGAGATGAAAAGGATCCCGCTGGCAGAATCAAGCACTTCTCCTCGGTCCGTAACATATCTGGCACCCAACGTTATCGCAGAGTAAAGATCGATGCCGACAACGACTTGGCCTTTTTGGTATACTCGAGTGGCACGACGGGACTACCCAAGGGTGTGATGTTGTCCCATCGCAACATTGTAGCCAATGTGTCGCAGCTCACAGCTGCTGAATCTCCACTGAAATGGCAACCTGCAGAAGGTCGACCAGATGGGGATGCCATCCTTGCATTTCTGCCCTTCTTCCACATCTACGGCCTCACTTGTCTGATCCATCAATGCCTCTACCGTGGCCTCAAGTGTGTTGTCCTCCCCAAGTTCGACATCGAAGCCTGGTGTCGTATCGTACAAGATCACAAGATCACTATGAGCTACGTCGTGCCGCCCGTAGTTCTGCTTCTCACCAAACATCCCATCGTGGAAAAGTACGACCTCTCTTCGCTCCGCATGATGAACAGTGGCGCGGCGCCGCTGACGCGAGATTTGGTGGAAGCAACACATAAGCGTATTGGGGTGCCTATCAAGCAAGGCTACGGTTTATCCGAGACTTCGCCGACCACTCACACACAATCCTGGGATAGCTGGAAGAGTTCCATGGGAAGTGTGGGCGCCATGCTTCCCAACATGACGGCAAAATACATGTCGCCAGAAGAAAAGGAGGTGCCCCAGGGCGAAGTGGGAGAGTTGTGGTTGAAAGGTCCCAATATCTTCAAGGGCTATTTGAACAATGTCGAAGGAACCAAGAACGCCATGAGCGAGGATGGGTACTTCAAAACCGGAGATGTGGGATATCAAGATGAGAATGGCAACTTCTTCATCACGGATCGTGTCAAGGAACTGATCAAGTACAAAGGTTTCCAGGTTCCTCCCGCGGAACTCGAGGGCTACCTGGTGTCACACGAGAAGATTGACGACGTGGCTGTGTTGGGCGTGCATAAAGAAGAACTGGCTACGGAGGTGCCCTTAGCATATGTAGTTTTGAAGCAAGGTATTGACGCCAGTCCGAGTGTAGAAAAGGAGATTGTGGAGTGGTTGAATGCCAAGGTGGCCAGTCACAAGAAGTTAAGAGGCGGTGTCAAGTTTACCGAAGAAATTCCCAAGAGTGTGAGTGGGAAGATTTTGCGAAGAATGTTGAAGGTGAAGCACCAGGAGGAAGAGGCGAAGAAGAATAGGCGGGCGAAGTTGTAGGGGGTGAGCTTGTGGAATACCTTAGGTATACCTGTCTTTGCGAGGTACGAGGGAAGGCCTAGGTACTCCCTGCCCCCGGGGCCAAACGGATCCGCGCAAGGTAGTGTACAAACTACCTGAAGTCAGATCATGTTCCCAGCACGATCGAGCATTATAAGGATGTCTTCCAATCATCGACGTGTTTTGTTATTGCAGCAATAAATGGCTGATCGTTCTTAGGGCATCTGAAGACTGAATGATGAATACAGTCAGAGTCGACCCCAGATACTGCTCGATTGACAGTACCTAGTGTCATGCACGTGTCCAGGACCCGCGGTCAGGATCACGCGTCGAGCGTTTGTGTGAATTGTGATGAAGCTCTGGTCACCTCTCCACCATTGACTTTTGGTGATTTATTATCATCAACTCCTCACTTACCTCAACTATCCGTGTTGACTGTATTTCTCGACTCCAATCTCACTGTCACCTACGACACATACGGTATTGTTGTTCAACGACCACTTTCTCGTGGCTGGTTGAAACGAGGCTTCGCAAGAGCCCAGACACACATGAACCTGACCTAACCTCGAGCAGCGCCATCACAGTCCCTATCACATACACGGGATGGACAGGCAAGTCTTGCATCGTCCTCGTCATGGCGACCCGTTCGAGCAGCGTCGTCGCCACGGTCACGTGCATGCTCCCGCGTATGTCCACACCATGCGTCGCGCCCGACCGGCAGAAGACATCATTGCCGAATTCGAGTTGCGAGACGAGCGCCAGAAGGAGCAGATCTCCATGCTCCACCAGAAAGTGATCAAGCAAAGTGAAGAAGTCAAGACATTGCAGACCAAATCGTACAGAAACGAGCAGGCCGTGCGAGATCTGCGACAACAGATCGATGTCCGCAGTCATGCTGCCGCCTCTCAAGTGGCCGACATTCAAGCTGCCGCGGACACCCATGCCGCTTCTCAAGACTCCCTCATCCGCTTCGGAACGAACGCTGTCAAAGAGCAGCGCGTCCGAGCCGAGAGCGCGGAAGCGGAAGTGAAGCGCCTACAGACCGTCGTTTCGGAGCTCGAGAGCTCGATCTCGGAACTGCGAAACCTCGTCACCAACTACGAGGCTGTCATGGCAGCTTCGGCAGACGACTACACGAGAGCGTGCATGGAGGCACAAGCCTCCGGCTCCGTCCGAATGATCAAAGGCTATCAGAGCGATCTTGCTAGACAGAAGTATGTGCTAGAGAAGATGAGAATTGAGTGCGCTCGAAAAGACAAGGCATTGAGGGAGTATGAGCAGAAGGAGTTTGACCGATCGAGAGAGTTGGAAGAAGGAAAGCGCGAGCTCTCGGCCAGTGCGCGAAGAGCTGAGACTCTCGAGGGCATTGCCGAGGACCAGAGAAAGTTAATTGAGAGACTCAATGGGGAGAACGCTCGGTTGCTTGCGCTGAGTGCAGGGTTGTGAGTACCCGGGTTTCCATGCTGTCGTCGGTCGACGATAGACAAAAATGATATGTATGTAGCATCACGCACTACCCGCGCGAGCCTTCGCAGAGACAGCCGCACCAGTTCTTCTGTTGCGAGACGATCCTCTGCGTCGCTGCGTGTCTACCACAGACAAAGCGGCATCCCAGACTGGGAGCAGTATCTCCGCTGGCGCTCAGCTTTTACGTAGAGGTAGCCTGGCAGACACGCGCCCGCCACCTCTATACCACACAATGAGACTCCAATGCAGATGAATTACTGCAAGTGAGGCCCATGTGGAGCACGGTTTGCAGCAGCTTACCATGGAAGTGTGTGCAATTCAGACTTCACTTCGAAGTTCAAGCACAAACCATATATTTAATAGCGCTAGGGTCAGTACCTTACTCTTCTTTTCTTCTCTCCTTTCTTCTCAACTTCACTTGCTTCCACTTCTTTCCCTCTAGGCATCGTATCTGCACGCAGGTAGCATTCAATCAAGTATCCCCACAGGTGGCCTCTTTCACTCTCCAGGTTGGGTCGTACCTTCCTTCTCGACCAACATAAGAAGAACCCATCAATTTTCCTTTTCCGGCAATCCACATTTGTTCATAGCTCACACCATACCTTATCGCTTCACGCATGTGGAATTTGCTGACTTCACTTGGGCTTGGACTACTGTTCACCGTCACGAGCGCAAGTTCGACAACCCTCACTTCGACTTCAACCTTCTCCTGATGGGCAACAACATGTCTTTCGGCAACACTTCGAACACCATCAACCAACTACCAGTCGCCATGACTCCTGAGCCTGCTGCCGTTGTGGCAACGATCGAGAATGCGGACATCAAGGGTGAAGTGGAGGACACGAAGAACGCAGACATGAAAAGTGAAGTAGAGGCTACGACGACCTCTGCTGCTCCAGCTCTGGAGTCAGGCTCTGTCATTGTCTCATCCGACGATGACATCCCTGAGTACTCACCTCGAATGACTGTAGCATCAACAGAGACCACGACTCTCGCGCAGGAAAAGGCTGTTGCGGCGAAGACTGCTGACTCCGAGGCTGACGGACAGCATAGCAGCAAGAGGCCAGCATCGACTGAAGCTGAGGGTGCATCCCCTAAGAAGCTGAAGACGAATGAAGAGGGAAATACGACTGGAGAAAGCGAGAAAGCTCCGAGCGAGACCAAGGAGCTGGAGACGAATGAAGAGGGAAATACGACTGGAGAAGGCGAGAAAGCTCCGAGCGAGACCAAGAAGCTGGAGACGATCGAAGTTCTCAAGATCAAGGCGAACACCATCATTAAGAAAAAGAATGCTCAAATCAGCGAGCTTAGAGACAAGCTTGTAGAAGTTGAGAAGGAGCGGGACGCTTTGGAAGAAAGCCGGTACCAGTTTGAAGCCGACAAGATTGTCTTCAAAGAGCAGCAAGCGATCAGAAATGCAGACAAAATGGCTGAAGCAAGGCGGGAGAGAGAGTGGCAAAGCAATGCTGCGGCCCGAATGAAGGCTGCAGCCGTGGCTGACTACGAGAGAAAGCTTTCTACCAAGATATCATTCGTGGAGAGGCAGCTAAAGACAAAGCACGTCACCATGGAAAATACCTTGAATCAGAAGCTCGAGAACAAGACAGAAAAGCTCGAGGAGACGCTGAAGAAGTTTAGCGAGGCGAAGGAACAGTGGAGAAAGGAAATTCAAGAACTCAAAGCACAGGTGAAGGAGCAGGCCAAGCACGGCGGCGCAAAAGCCCAGCAGATCGTGAAAGAACTCAAGGAAGAAGTCAAGATCAAGGATACCAAAATCAGCGAGCTCACTTCCGACAAACAGCGCCTGCATGGAGAAATCATCAACCTCAAAGCCCACGTCAACGCCGAAAAAACCCAACTCGCAGATCTCCACGCAACCCACAACTCCACCTGCGCCGAAATCAAGGCACTATTCACCGAATCTCAAGCCTGGAAAACCCGCGCCACCCTCCGAGACCAAGACTTGAGCCTCATGCAAGCAAAATTCAAACACGAGCTCAAAACCCGCCAATCTCTCCATTACAACTCCATGCACGAAATGGAGGAGAAATGGAGACTCCAAGCCCAGAATTCTGCCCAGTCGCAGCAACGTGTGGTCACCAATCAACGCGCAGTCTTTCATCTCAATGGGATGCTTGATACCAAATCGAAACTCATTGAGGAGCTGCAGGCAAAATTGGTGGAATGTCAGAAGAGTTTGAGGGTTTTTACAGGAGCTGCTACTGCTGCTGCTGCTGCTGAGAGGCGGAGCGAGGACGAAGGAGGGGACTAGGAGGGGACCGTCGAGTTTAGGAGGGGCTGAAGGGGTTGCTACTAAGTGGTAGTGGGAAATGTCCTGCCAGGCATGCGCTCCGGGAACAGAAGGTCGCTGGCCAGTTGGTCATGATATCTTCTCGGGATTCTCAAACGCTTCACGCCCTCTAGGCTTCGGAGAGGTTGACGGAATCTCCCCACGGAGCCCCAGTCGTTACGAAGCCGCGCGCGACTGATTTCGGAGATTCTGCTGGGGACATGGTGTCCCGATCCACGGTGAGGGTTCTGGTATGAGTCGATTGAGGCTTCTTCTGGCTCTGGAGTCGAGGCGAGTTCTGTCGCTGGGGCTATTGCTGCTGCTGCTCAGCAGGCGGGCAGGCAGGCTGGACTCTCTGAATCCAGTTACAACTGTTATGTACCATCTGCGTGAAACGGTGATGATGGGAGAGAAGAAGCAAAAGCGATGGAACCCTCCTTGGGACTCATTCCATGGGAAGTCTCACACCTGAGGCCCAGGTCTGCTTCTAGCTTGTATCTTTTAGTTTGACTCACCATGCTGCTCATCCTTCACATCCATTTCTCATCTTCTTCATCCCAATTAAACCTCGTCTCAACCCACATGTTGAAGGGGGGAGTAGTATGGTCATGTTTCTCTCTCTCTCTCTCTCTCTCTCTCTCTCTCTCTCTCTCTCTCTCTCTCTCTCTCTCTCTCTCTCTC